TGTCCGTAGGCATCGGTACCGTGGCAGTTGCTGTCGAATCCGAAGTCGGGGTCTGTTGAGTAAGGTCACCCATAGGGTGAGGTGTCCCCGGTACCGACTCAGTGGCATGAATCAGGTGATCCGCCATGCCATCAGCTTCAGAGAGAGAATATCTGGATGACGGATTGCTCCTCCTTGTTGTGTTAACACATGCGGAAGAGTTGGTAGATGAAGGAACGTTCTTCTGGACAGCAGCAAAAGAGTGGCAAACCATGGTTGTCTCAGCCACCACGGAGTCACTAGTATCCCCGTGGCATTGTCCTGGGCTATTTTTGCAACCACTCTTGTCAGGAGTGGGATCGGAAGAAACGCATAAAAAGTCATGTTGCTCCAAGGGACCATAAGAGCGTCCCCCATTGATCCCAGCCCGACGCCCGCTCTGGAATAGTATAGGGTACACAGGCTGTTCTCTCGAGTGGTGAACAGGTCCACGTCCGGATAACCCCACAAGTGGAAGAGTTTCTCGCAAATTTGTTTGTCCAGCTCCCATTTGTGGATTGTTGACATCTGTCTACTTAATGTATCCGCTTCAACGTTGTCGGTTCCAGCCAGATGAACTGCCATAAGCACAATGTTCCTCGGTATGCACCAGTCCCAAATGTCCATTAATAGGCATGCTAAGGCTGGGGATTTTGTGCCCCCCTGCTTGTTGATGTAGAAAACTGCCGCTATGTTGTCTGATGCAATTTGGACAACTTGACGGCATAACACAGTCTCGAAAGCCTTGAGGGCGTTGAAAATCGCCAGAAGTTCCAGAAAGTTGATGTTTCCTCACCTCTCGTTGGTTCCAAGTACCTTGCATCGAAGTCCCAAACATGCCGCACCCCATCCAAGGAGGGATGCATCAGTGTACAGAGTTGTCGTTGGCCGAGGTGGTCGAAATGGGGCGCCGATCGACAGGTTGTCTGTGATGGTCCACCACGTTAAAGTGTGAAGGATTGCAGATGGAATCTGAATCGGCTTGGTGGTAGGATCTTGTTGAGGTTGAAAAGCAGTGTTGAAAAACAGTTGTATGGGTCGCATACATAGTCTGGCATACGGGACAATGGCAATTGCAGCAGCCATATGCCCCAGTAATCTCTGAACGGATAAGGCTGGGACCGTTCTGTGTAGCTGAATCCGATGAATATGGCTGCATAAGGCATTCTGACGTTCCGGTGGGAGGAAGGCTTTTTCCTGCGTCGAATCAAGTCGTGCCTCGATGAAATCGATGACCTGCGTGGGAATAAGGGACGATTTGTTGCGGTTAATGCAGAGGCCGAGAGCATCGAGTAGAGTGCAGGTCATTTGTATATCAGACAGGAGAGCTTGCTCGGATTGCGAGACGATTAGCCAGTTGTCTAAGTATGGGTATATCTGTATTCCCCATGTCCTCAAATGTGCGCATACTGGCGCCATACACTTCGTAAAGACTCGAGGGGCTGTGGCCAAGCCAAAAGGTAGGACGTTAAACTCGAACAGGTCAGATCCGACAGTAAAATGTAGAAAGCATCTGTGTGAAGGATGGATGGAAATATGAAAATAAGCATCCTTTAAATCCAGTGAGGCAAACCAATCCTCTCTTTTCAATAATGGAAGGATATTTTGCAAAGTGGTCATCCGGAACTTCCTTGGTTTAATGTACTTATTAAGAGTTCGTAAGTCCAGGATCGGACAAAGACCACCGTCCCTTTTCGGGACTGTAAAATATCTGGAATAGCATCCATGCAATCCTTCCAAGCAGGACAATTGTCAAATCGCTCCCTTGAGAAGTAGCTGAGAGACCTCATCGCGTAGCACCAATGAAGATGTGAAGCGGATCGGGCTCGAAGTAGGGGTAACATCGAATTCTATCCTATATCCAAACTGGATGATAGATAACACCCACCTATCAGATGCAATGGACTCCCAAATGGGGAGCCGGCCCTGGAGCCGGTTCCCAAAAGGGAGAAGGGAAGGTGGTGTTGGGAAAGAGAGGATGGTTCGTCCAAGCCATCAACGTGGGCATTTATCGGTATCGAATCGCCGACGGCCTTGGGAAAAACGTTGTTGTGTTTGCTGCCATTGTTGATATTGCTGGCGAGGGTAGTTTTGCTGGCGCAGATAGTATGGTTGGTTCCGGTAGGAAGACCGAGGCCACTGCCACTTACGTTTTTGCGGGAGCTCCATGTGGCGTGCAGTTAGGCATGATTCGTGAATCGCCTTTAATTTGCGGTCGGTCTTCTGGTGGAACAGACCGGTACCGTCAAATGGCATTTCTCTGATTCTGCGCTTCATCTCATTGGGGAAATTACAATTGCGCAGTCATGCATGTCGGCGTAACAAGATGGCATTGACGAGGGCCCTTGAATCGGTGTCTACATGATGACGAGCGGTAGACAGCTGTTGCACCGCCACCTGCATTGCCTCCTTAATGAAAACCCTGGCAAGGTCCGCTTGGTGGTCTGGAAGGGAGGAAGCAATGTTATCCAGCTTCTGCATGGTAAAGTACTGGTAACGTGCCAGTGTCGCTTCGTAGTTCAATATGCGCACGCCGAGTCCAGAGGCCGCATAGACTCGGCGCGCAAGCATATCAATTTTCCTCCCTTCCTTGTCCCGAGGAGCGGTATGTCCCCTGGACTCCCTGCCCTGGGAGGATTCAACCACAAGAGAGTTCGGTTTCGGGTGACAGAGCAGGAAGGGAATGTCATCGTCACGAACACTATACATGGCCTCATATCTGCGGGAGATAGCTTGTGGTTGGGCCAGTTGGTCCCAGGGCTGGACCATAGCCTGGCGGAGTGTAGTTATAAGCGGCAGAGCTATGGATGCGGACTGCTCTCCCCGAACGACATCATAAAACCGATCTGTGGAGGGGCCTGGCTGTTGATGAGCTTCGATTTCAAGCAAACGAACTAAGTGGGACATGAGCTCTGTGAAAGAGACATGCGGTTTGTCGGGTGAAGCAGGCCCTTGGTATTAGGGGATGTGGAGTCGACCTCCGAATCCTCGGAGTCTTCCACGTAATGTGGCCGGTTTTCGCTTGAGGAGGAGGTTTCAGGGGAGGTTGGGCGCCTTGTCTCCGTACGCCTGGAGGTGGATGGTACGTTCCTCGGGACCAATGGTGATCTATGATCCCGAGGAAAATAGGGATATGGCTGGTAACCACCCCAGCCGGGGGGAGCACCATATCCCGGGATCAACCAACTCTCATCTCGATGTTTGGATGAAAGGCTGCGACATCTGGGAGGTAATGGTGAGGCCACATGAGGTTCAGTCGGTGGCATAGGTGTTAGCGAGCGGTCGCTCGGCAGGGAGTCTCTGATCTCACCATCAGAGATGGACTCCCGAAGCGGCTCCTCCTGTTGCTGGGGATGCACGCTCTCAGGCCAAGTGGTTGGCCTGGGGGATCCCGGTGGAATCACCTGCATAACGAGTTGCAGGGCCAGTCCCAAGGGGGTTGGTACCATGGCGGCCGTCGGTACCGAAAAGCCCGATGAACCTGAGCCCCGGTGTTTTGGGCGATCAGGTTTCTTGCTCTTGCGAGCGGGCTTATCCACCTTCTCCTTCCTCAACTTCTTATGGGTGGAAGGTTTATTCAGACCGGTATGCTTGTGCTTCTCCCGTTTCTTAGCCGGGGGAGAAGGCAGTGACTGAGCCTCCATAGAAGCGGCGCCTTTGTCCGAAGGACGCTGCGGAGGACCGGCAGAGGTCGAGGAAGGACGCTTCGCCGCAGCACTCATGATGGAGGAAGAGCGCTGAGGAGGCGCGGACGAAGAGGAACCAGGCCGTAGGAGAAGTTGGTCAGACTGCATTAATGCCTGATCCCATAGGAGCTTCCTGAGACAATTCTCCGTTTTTTCCGTGCCTGCTTGGTAAACGCCAAGCAATGACCGCATTTGTCGGTCCAATGCCCCTCGCCGAGGCAGAGGAGGCATAGATCATGTGGATCAACTGGCGACATTTTAGATCCACATTCAATACATTTGCGGAATGCCGCCCACTGCACCATCGCGGAAAAATGAAGAAAAGAGGACAGTATAGAGGGTAAGATAATATTTTTTGTTTTTTGTTTTTTTGCTTTTTTATATATAGAGAGAAGAGAATTTAAGAAGAAAACGGACAGAATCGGGAAGAACAAACTTGGAGCAAGAGGAGTTTAAGGTTTTTGAGAAAAAAACAACGAAGAGGCACAGATCTATAGCGAGAGACGAATAGGCACGAGGCACAGCAAACAGCGGTCACAAAGACTGAGTAAAATGGTGGACACTCCGCTCTATTTATACCATGAAGGGGGAGGGGAGCGGAGTTTTCCTGCCAAAAACCGTTAGCTTTCTAATCTTCCGGCCTAGGCACTGCGCAGGCGCAGCAACCCATATGTGTGATGCACAGAGGCCATGACGAAGAACCATATCTACACTCTGTACAATACACTGAGGATAATTGAGGGAATGAAGATGGTTTTTCTCTGGGAAGCAGAAGTAGGAACAGGTGGGAAATGCCATAAGTAACTAACAGAAAAAAAATCCAAAGTGTGCATAGATACAGACAGAGTACATAGATAAACCAGAGTAAAGCAGGGCAGGAACAAATCATATCTATTGTACAAACACTATTAAACACTACCTTTATAAATGGGATTACAAAGAATGAACTTGAGGACAAACCAGGGAACAGCTCAATCATTATTGACTCTTCTTATTACACTTCCAAGAAGCTTATATGCACTAAAATGTTGCATGCTGATTGGTCCCGTGTCCACATTTTTGTCTCTATATCCACATAAACAAAGTTATTCCTTGGCTAATAGACCCTGTAGCTCTCTAGTAACAAATTGTGTAAAATACGCAAATAAACTAAGGCTTTTATTACATCATTACTACGAAGACAGTCTGAAAACTGTTGCTTTACTCTTTGTGCACCCAGACACTCCTGGTATAATTCCCTTTTTATTTTGACAAACTGGGTTTGAAATAAGTTACAAACCAGAAGATATTACATACCTTTGGCTGAAGATTTGGATGAAGTAACACATAACCATTGGGGTCAATTGCAAAATAATAACCATTTGGACACAGCTGTGGAAAGCAAAAGACATGTAACCGTATTTTGTTGCCCACTGTAATGGCATTAAAAAAAAAGATTTAATAATCTTCCTCCAGTAATACTATATGGAAAATATACTAATCCAACAAAACTTGAAGTACCTGTTAAAGAACGATGCCCATATTGAACTAATGTGAAAGGGTTAAATGCTTTAAAATCTTCAATATTTTCACTATGGTTTTCAATATAGAAAATATGGTTAAAGTAATCCCGGAAATTAACCAATAACATTTTGACCCAATATACATCGTATAAACATAAAGTCATATGAAAGTTGAGCACACATTCATGCAAGTTATAATAAAAAGCTGTTTATATATCTAGTGTGCAGTGAAACAAGACTTAGAGTACTGTGTGTTGGGGCACAGAGGAGAAAGATAGTTTAACATGTACCCTTAGGTCTTCTGCTTTCAAAACTGTGGAACCTAGCCATAACCTACAAGGCAGCTGCAACAGACTAGACAATTCATGGAAAACCCTGGATATTAACTTTGTGGGAAAGTAGCCATCTCCCTGAAGCACCATTACTGTGAGGAAAAAATAGGGGAAATGACAGGGTGAACCAAGGATAAACAATCATTTGACTTCCAGCCAGAAGAATACTAGATAGGCTGGAAGAGAGGCTTGGAACAGAATTCAAGTCTTAGCAGAAATTAAAAATAGGCAATATTGCAAAAGTATATGGGAAAAGAGACTTACTGTAAACCGTGGAGTCAGTTTTTTAATTTCTTCGAGTGACACATCCACTCCCATTACTCCAAGTATCAGCTGGTTCTGACAAAAAGAGTATGTTCATGTTAATTTCAGAGGGTCTGGAGAGCCATAGCAATGATGAATTAAAGAATTAATTAATGTAATGAATAAATTAAGCATTTAGGAACAATTATATGTATAAACATACACATACCTTTCTCTAAAGTTCCACAAAACAAGAAGGGAACTTTACCCATGTTAGTATATGCAGTTTGTTTAGGATATCCTTTATTGTAGAGGTCAACTTCCCTTTTTATAAGCATGAGGTTTGGTATAAATTTGAATTTCTGAAGTCCTACACACATGCAGTTTACCTAAATATTATGCATCTAAATAATGTAAGTGCCCACATATTGACAAACAAAGCATGCACATGAAAGATTAGTAAGGAAATTAGTACTATGTGCTATACTTATTCCTTTTCCTACATCTGTCATTACATTTTCCCTCTTTGTTGTGTTCTTGTGTCCACTGTTAACGCACTATTCTAGAGACCATCAAATCATATAAACTCTCATACATACACTCAGGTATAACAAATATACTTGCACATGAGCTGTACAGCTGAAATTTACTTGGGATACCATCAGATAATGGGACAGTAGTACAAAAACTTCAAATAAATAAATAAATCCTTACTGCCAGAATAATCTAAACATGGGCTATTTACATGTAGATCAGGTGCACTGCCACTGACCTGTCACAGAAGCAAGAGGGATACAATTTGGGACATAAGATATTCCATAGATATTGTTGTAAGCTGCCCCGAGGCTTCGGCGAATGGGGCGGCATAAAAATGTTTTCATAAATAAAGAAATAAATAAATAAGCTCTAATTACTAATGTTGTCTGAAAGGGAGATAGTTGCTCCAAATTAATAATGGGAGAGGTTGATAACAGCATACTTTGCAATGGCTGAGTTACACCTACAATATTGAGAGTAAAGTAATCTGATATACACATAAGTCCTGTCCATGCATTCTTGATGCATGCATAATTTCTGTGTGAGGAGAGGAAGCACAGCAGCCTTCCAACAACTCCTCACACATTTTTATTGTTCTGCATTTATGGGGGGCTACAAAAGAAGAGGAAAACTTCTGTCTGTGGAAACTGCCCATGTGAATCAGAGCACTGATTATACAGCATTCTGGCTCATGCAAGGAACCCCCATGGATACGGTCACCCTCCCAAAGTACAGGATGACAAATGCCATGATAGACAGGATGGAGTTGGAGCACTCCTTCTCATGCATTCTATTCACATACAAAACACCTGAATATTATACATTATGATAGAATTGATTGTTCCAGAGTTTTTGGAAATGCCTCTGATTTTCCTTTTCACAAAGTGCTATGCACAGTTAGCATTATTTCATACATAATTCATCCCACATTGTGTTTTCTTTATAAAACAGGCAGAAAGATACAGTGGCTATTGCCACTAAGGAAAAGAGGGTTGACCTAAATCACTGTATTTCCTGTTGTATATTGCAAAATGTTCCAGTGTTACTTCCTGGCTGGACACAACAAAAACAGTGCAAGGCTTAATTTACTCAGGGAACCACTAAGTCAATTTTTCATCATGTAACATGCAATTGGTTCCAATTCTACCCAAGTGTCTGTGTTTAAGTAATGTTAGCCCCATTAAAGTCAATGGAATCAAGAAGCTTTAGATCTAAGTTGTTCGGTTTGTCTGTTTTATCAATATTTTATCAATATGTCAGTTTTGTCACTTTCTGGCATTATGTATTGGCTTACCTGCTTATTATTTTGGTCTTTTGTTAAGTTGAAGACAGGAAGAGTTCCAGAAATGACCAAGCCAAGTTCCTAGAAAATAATCATAAGAACTGTCCATATGAGAATATGCTATGGGGTGGATTTCAAGGACTGATCATCAAATGAAATGCAAGTACAAGTCAAAACGCATTATCCAAACAGGATTTTTGGATAAATATACTAAAGCGCTCACCTGAAATCTAATAAACATTTTCTAGTGAAAGAGGAATTTATACCAGCATTTTTAATCCAAATACTATATACGGCAGGGCTGCAGAATCTCATGTCTGTGGTTGCAATCCAGCTGTCTGGGGCTTTCCAGGGGGCCACACCATCTTTTGCTGGCCCCATTCCCTTTGCCCCTGATCACCAGCTGTTTGATGCTTTCTCAACTTTTGTGCATTCCCCCCCCCCCCACATCTAAAAGGTTATAGTAAGGACTTTGCACTAAAATAGTCCAATATTTTGCCTTTGGCCTCACCCAACACTGATAGGCAGTTCCTGGAAGCTTCACCAAAATGGAATTTGGCCCTCAATCTGAGAGAAGTTCTACATTCTGAAATATGACTTGTTATATGTACTCCTTTCTGGGGTCAGGTGAGTCACCTTCATGATTCTACTTCCTGCTTCCAGAAACAGTAGGTGGCCAATAATGCTGCACCAATGTGCCATCTAAGGCCCAACTGACATCTTGCCCCTTGGCATTCTGTCCTCATAGTAGAACCTCTTAAAACCTGTTCCAACAGGCATAAAAAGTGCCATCTTGATGACTAATCTAAATTGCACCCAAGTGCTTCATATTGGAGCCATAATCCAGGCTTCACAAAATTGTAATAGTTCTCATATTAGTCAAAACTATGAGACATTTTGACATCCAGGGATGTGTGTGGTGCATCTTTTTGACACACAGAGAGATTCTTATGCAGGTATTGATGCATAAGCCCAGGTCTAGTGCTATTTAACTAACACACTGGCCTCACACCCGTGCAGTCCTGCTTGGTTATGCAAGATATCTATCCCATAGTTAACTACATAGCATTTAGGAAAGGCTTAGTCTTTTAAGTCTAGGCTATGGACTTGAGTGAGTATGCACTGCCCTCATTTGGGTCAGAACCAGTGTAAAACAGAACAAGAGACTTAAACCATGCCTGTTTATATCACAAAGTCTCCTCTGATGGGGTATTAGGAAGAAATGGAAATATTTTAAATTAAACCCTGCCAAGGGACATGACTTATTTCAGGAACCAAGCTGTGGGGGAGATAACTTAAGACTTCTGCGTCAGTGCATGACAGTTCTGATCCAAACGTGGGTCATGCACAGTTATTCTAGGTATTTAAAAATATGAGACTTGGCTGCATGCTACACAATTTATTTATTTATTTATTTATTAAATTTCTAACCTGCCCCATTAGCCATATTGTTACAGCAATAAAATACAAAATAAAATAAAATTAAGGTAATGTGCAATTTTCTCCAAACTGAACTTTGGGTATTGCTGAAGACACGAAGTGGGATGGGAAGAGAGATGAGAGCATATGTTGTTTGATTCTTAATGCAGGATCCCCTGCAACTATACAATGCAAAAAGGGAAGAAACTATGATATTTCAATGGCAAAGAATAATGTGTCATTCTACTATTGCAATCAGTGTGGTGTAGTGGTTAAGAGTGCAAGCCTGGAATTTCGGTGATCTGCATTCTAGTTCCTTCTCTGCCATGGAACCAACTGGGTGACTTTGAGCCACTCACACACACCCAGTCCAAACAACCTCACAGGGTTGTTACTGAAGGGATAAGGCTGGAGCAGCAGGAAAAGAATGATGTGAGCAGCTCTGACTTCTTAAAGAAAAGGTAGGATATAAATCTAAAAAATAAATATCTACAAACCTCCATTTGCACCACTGCAGCTTAAGTAGACCCTTCAGACAGGGCCATGGGAACTGGAACATTATTTCTGCTTATTTATTTAGTGCCCTAGCATATTTAATTTGTTTGCTATTTCCATATCTAATTCCTTTGCTATTTGTTGCAAAAGGCAAAATAACTACATTCTATGTGGAATTCATTGAAGGATGAAGTAATGACATGGTTTGTTTTGTTTTGATTTGATTGGACTGCCGAATCCACAACTCGACTTCTTTCCTTGCACATTCTTGCTTTTGTGCTGACATTTAAGAACAGGATGTGTAGGAAGACATGAACTTTCTCCGTGACATTTCCAGTAAGTACCTCATCAGCAACCAAGAAAGAGTGGTCAATGAACTTCTGGGCATTGGAACTATAATGATACAAAAGACTGACCCACTTTGACTTGAACAACTCATAATACACTGATTACATTAAAAAAAAAATTAAGATAGATATTATGTTGTACCTAACAGGAAAAGGTAGAACGTCAACTGGTCAGATGGGCATGAGTGTATGGCCTGCAGATTAACATACTGCCGTCACTAGTGAAGCGATTCAAATGTGTATATCAACGTTATCTCTTCAAGTGGCAAAGCTTTCAAAAGCAATGCTTAAACTTTTGTAGTTTCCCGCACAGATCTCCATTTGACATGTTCCCAGTGATAAAGGAGGAAGCCAGGAAGAGGTTGACTTGTGCTAAACAAATAATAATAATTGGCCCCAATCCAGATGAAAACAGGACTGATGTCTTTATGTGTCAAGCCATACAGTTTAGCCAAGTTGTTTAAGCAGAGCTATTCAAACAGAAAATAATTCTGCCCGATTTCACTGTGTCAAGTGATAACAGAAGAGAATGACATATTTTGCTTTGAATACTTCTCAAAATCAAAGCAGTACTTAACAGAAAAGAAGGAATGCAGTTCGGAAGTGTATGGAAACTTTGCCCTCTGAACCAGAAGCCCCTTCCCAAATTCCCATATCTGGGAACATTCTATAGGCGCTAAAAAGTGATGCATATGCAACTCTGCACTCACTCCATGGCACTTAACTTTCTTCTTACTCTAGATGATCTAGACTAAGAACTGACACTAAAAATAGGAAGGGGACTGAACCCTGGAACAAATTAAGCCATGTGAATCTTAAAAACAAGAAAAAAGGAACACACACATACACAGATAGTTATGCATTATGTAAACAGTGCATTACTACTGTGAAGCACAGTGGCAAAGAGAGGGTCATCTACTGTATTTCTTAGGCCCAAGTCAGGATATCTCATAACTGCAGGACACCTAATGTGTCCCTGGCCAGCCTTCAAGGAAATGGTCACACATGCTTTCAACTGAATTGCCTTATAGTTGAATCTTTCCATGAACCAAATCCGCCTCCCAGTATTGCGTTTCAGCATCATAGGATTGTCTCAATCTACAGATGCAAGTATGTGTATTCTTATCTCTTTGAATAGGGTGTGGCTATGATAGCTGTTACGATAAGCCCCTGCACGGCTTAATTGATGCTTATATGACTGGAAGGCCATATTGGTTTTACCAGGAATGAATACAGACATATGAACTCAAAATGATGCTTCTGCAGATGGCAGCTATGGCCTATTGCACGGTGTAATCACAGACGCAACTGCTCCTCATTCATGGAGTTGCTGCTAGTGATCCACCATAATTGCCTCCTCTTTCTTGGGACAGTGCCACCATTTTCTCCCTCTTATCATAGTGCATCTAACTCCCTCTTTTTCCTATCTGTAATACTTTACAGTTATCCTTGGTAAACTGAATGTTTTTTGCTATCTCCCCCAATATCCTTTTAAAATTCTCCAGAAAGTTTTGTATCAGCCCCTTTAAAAGGAACTCTGTTTTTTCCACTTCCACATTTACATGAGATTATACAAATTTTAATGAATTTCTATTCAAAATATCCTTTCTCGAGCTATGTAACACCACATATTGCACATCATACCAGTGCGTCCAGGTAAACATTGGTCCACTGGACTTGTTTGGCTTGTTTTCCAGCCAGAACCATCGGTCTCCCCAAAACATCCAAGTATTCCTGTCAAAAGAAAGCAAACATTGAGTTAGCTGGTCAGTCATTATGGGATTTTTTAAAATGTCCAATAACACTTTAGTGCAAATTCTCCCCCTCCAGTTACGCCTACTTGTCCAGGGGAACTTTTTGTCTTTTAGGAACCATTCTTTGGGGGTCACCTGTCATGGGATGCGTTCTAAAGATGGGCAGGATGCAGACAAAAATGGAGACTACTCCAAAATTGGAGACCAAAAATGGAAACTATTTCTCTCTCTGTTTCCTGCCATTCATTTTCTCTTCTTGTCTCCCAGCCACCCCGTTCTCTCTCCTTCCTCTTCCTCTCCATCCATGAGGCTGCCAGAGGAAAGACAGATCACTCTTGCCCAAGGTATAATTGACTATCTGCAAAAGTCAGCCTTTTGAAATTAGGCTGGTGGCTGCAAGTTGCCCACTCCAAGTCCAGCAAAAGTTTTTTAAACTTTTTGAACCTTTCTAAATTTATTTAGCCCTTCATGTGCCAGAAGCCACCTTTGGAAGGTCAGACCACAGAATCTTTGCATACACAAAGTCCACTGCTTATGTGTGTAAGGATCTCTCGATTAGGACAAGGAATCCACCACTGCCTTTAGAAGAGAACATGAGGTGATCTCATCTGCTTCTCTCTTAAACTCAAACAGCTAGCCTGGAACAAGTTGGGAAGCAGAGAAGCTGCTGCGGCAAGAAGTTTCTATATGTTCCTGCCTCAATGGCTCTCAAGTTTGGGTGGCTGCCAAGGCTAAACTTCAACTTCAGGAAGGGTGTCTGGCTTGTGTAATGGAAAGCATCAAGTCAAGGTTTCTGAAAATGTACTACCCGAGGATGCAATCTTTGTATGACCAGTTGTCAAAGATGATTGGATCTGTAGTTGGCCAACATCTGGAGGACAAGAGATTCTCTACTCCTGACTTAAGGGAGGTCTTTCCTTATAAATTATATGAGGTCCCTTGCTTTGAAAAAATGGTGTTGGCATTCTCAGGCAGGTAATCTAGTGAAACTGACTCAAAGCAGATATGGGATATCATTGCGTCAGCCAAGTCCTGAATGGATCACCCTAATATAGTGAGTTTTTAAACGTTACAGCAGAATCATAATGAGATGAACCTCAAAAAGGAGACTTCCATGATGCTGTTTTCAAGGGCATAATGCATACTTTAAAAGTATGCTCATAACCATAATTTTAGTTTCATTACCATGGGGTCATTAGACTTTTTAAAACTATTAGACAACATATGGAGATATTAGTTTCTGCAAGATGGAGATGTTAATGGATATGGGAGGAAGCAGCAGAGCATGGTTTGCCTTCAGACTTCTCAAGGCACTGGTCTAGCCACTACTGGAGACAGAACATTGCTTTCTGTGGGTTTCTTATCTGATCCAATCAGGATGTGTGTGTGTGTATGCATTCAGCAACCTCATGCTGTATAATGAACCCACATGAAAAATGCTTTCCTGCAAAGCCTAATCCATGCAACTTGTCAAAAACCAAGTATGTGAACTGAATTCCTACAAGCTATTATATGTACTTTTTGTTCAAGCAGTTGGACTTATAGGTGTTTATAAACTGTTGTTAAAAATACCTGTGTGTTTATTCTAATGGCACCAATGGAAGGGATTTCATAATAGTAACCTGAAATAGAAAAAAAAGTGGAGTTTTAATTGCAACCTTTATTTATTAAATACATACTCATAGCCTACCTTTCTATTAAAAATCATGCTCAAGGCCATTTTTCAAGGCATGGTTTTTTAAGGTATCATAAGAGTTCTTGAAAAGAGGCAAGACTAGAACTAGAGAGGCAATGGAGTGGTGCCAACATGACTCTCCCCAGCTGAGAAGGGCAGACAAGATCAGGCAGCAGGCCCTTTCTCTCAGTGAGTTTTCTTTTCACCACTGTTTGTACAAGTCGCCATTGCTCCTCCACTGCCATCACTTGATCTCTTGACAAGCAGAGAGCCAGAACGCAGGCAGGGCATCTACGGCTGTTTCTTCTTACCACCAACATTGCCTTGGCCAACCTGTGAGGCAGGTGACCAATCGGCAGCAATGGCGAAGGGTGGCCAAAGCAAGGGCTCTTGTCAGTGGTCTCTGCTGCGGTGTGGGCCTTTGGCAAGGAGCCAACCGCACCTAAGTCTGACGCTGTGAATGAGGTCTTGTCTGACTCAGATTCTGAAGCGCACATTCTGAGGATTCATCATTTGGAGGCCGACCACTGCGGCTGCTCATAATCCCCTGAATGCCGAGAATAACAGGCACCCAGTGGAACACAGGAGGAGCGTGGAGGCCTGGATTGCCTCGATCCTTCACTCATCTTCCAAAACAATTAGATGACCAACTTTGGCTATCCAAATGCTCTTCCCCACTCCATAAGGACAGGTTGAAGGGCCTGCCCAAATTGTTCAGAGAACAGGATTCTCACTGCTTTCTTCAAGATGTCCCTCCCCACTTTGTGCCAGTTCCAAAGAAGGTCTCCCTTCTTTGGAAACCGGTCACCATGGAAAGAACTGCCCTGACTGAGAGGGAAGAGAGGGGTGGTGCTCTGAGGCCAGACTCCCAGCTCATGCACAGTGGTGCCACACAATCAGGAAGCCAGCAGAACCTGGTTGTTTTGTGGAGATGCAACATTAATGGGTCATCCAGGAAGCTCCACATTTACTTCACCATATGAGAGGCCTACATGAGAGTAATGCACACCTGGAGATCAAGTAACTCCAGAATTGAGGAGAGGTGGGACACAGGACACAGTGAACAAGAGAACAGAACTATATTAATCTTCTCATCTGTGATTCAGTTTACCCAACAGTTCTCCAGATTTGCTTCTGATCCGGTCTAAGAAAGTGAAGCAATGCATTTGTTGATTCAACATTCGCACACAGAGATACACACCATCCACTCAACACATTTCTCTGAGTTGCTTACAAAATTTCAAAGGGATCTAGATGGCACCAAGCTGAAGGGTCATGATAAAGAGAACAGATGCAGAATACCTTTGTTTTGGCAGGCCATCCACTGTATGGGTCCCTTGTCATAATTATGTTGCCCAACAGAAAATGTAAATACACGGACCTAGGAAAATTTAAAAAGAGGAGTTGAATACATGTGTCAATGAATAGGCATGATTTGTTTTTCAAAGAGGGCCATGGTGAGTGTCAGTTGACTGATCCTACTGCATGGATTATCATGTTCGCTTTTCTTTCTAATTATACTGCCTGCATGTTAAAAATTCAGAAATTTTCCTATCACTGGGCACTAAAGTTTATTTTCCATCTTTTTTCTAAGAAAACAAACTGGTGACAGTATTTACAAGCTGTGATCTTTTCAGTGTTTAGGGCTATTGAAACTCTGACATCACACCTGGGATCTTCTTTTCATCTATCATCAGCTCAAATGCATCATTTTTCAGTGGCCTCATTCATACATTCAGTTGGCACCCGTTCAGTGCATTAAAAAGTAATGCACATGTGTGTATGAATCAGTCCTAAACTTCCTGACAACAAAAATCTTTTGTCTTTCCTGATGAAAGGTCATTTCTCCTTTAATGATATCGATGAATGAACAGAAACATCCAATGCCACACTGTAAAACTAATTCACACACACCCCAACATCATGTTGTAAACATTCCAACTACCCTTTTATGCGTAAGAAAAAGTTTGCTTATTTCACTCATAATACTCATTAAGAAGAAAGGATATTTGATTATAAACAGAAAATATAAATACTTTGATATCTGGAAAAACGATTTGCCAAGAATGAAACATTATTTTGTATCAAATTTCTGCCACCTAGTGGAAGAGTCAGTGACATGCCATGGAAGTTTCTATTTTCTGTAAGAAACGAACGCGTGCATTTTACTTTCATGAGCTCTAGTGTTTGGGCCCTGACATCGTGTACATCTGGGAAAGACGCCTACATTTGATCTTGGTCACATTAGAGAGTGCTAAGGGAGTTTGGTTTAGCTTGATTGGGTGCAAGATAGTTCCTCATATCTTACACAGAAATGTAGCAGCAGGATCACCAATGATTCTAGTCCCACACTACCTCTGGTGAGCATCCCCTGCCTGAGTTCTTCATGAAGTCCAGTCACCATGGTGCAGGAGTGGAGGTTTATACCCCTTTGTGTTGGCTTGGCCAAAGGCAGAAGCCATGCAAAAAAATGTGCTTCTGTCTTCTGCGAAAGGGGAACAAGCCATGTGAAAGAATATCCTTCCCACTGATGTGTGGCCAAGGGAAAGTGCTTGTGTCTTGCTTAAGGACCTTCGCAGAAAGGCTGAAGCAGCAGAAATCTTCTGTGCATTTTCTGGCTCTGGCAAAACCAGCACAAAGGAAAGTATATCCCTTTTTACACCCCAGTGTCCTGACATATAAAGAAGATTTATGGGATAAGTGTTCAGCGGCTAGAATGCAAGCCCAAATGTGCGGGTCTCCCCTCATTTCATCCATTTTCACAAGTGGATCTTTCTTTTGATTCTAAATTTGGTATTTGACATTCTGCCCTTCAGGAGGGATTAGCAAGCAAGTCTGAGGACGCGAGGAAACCATGCCTGCTTTGTGTGGATATCCCGGGTTTGTTTCTTCAGCTGTATCCATATCAGGCAAATTACCTGCTATTGACACCCACTGTCAGCACTTTATACAGCTAAACCAATACAGGAAACAAAACTAATTAGAACTATAGACAGTGCCTAGCTGCAAAATGTAGGCTTACCAATAGTTTCCCAACAAACTGTATTTTCCTTCTTTTTTAAGTAGAAAAGAAAAATACTTCATTCTCAGACAACAATTGCTCCATTTAAGTGTTCTGTTCATCTTTTGTATACTAAATGGATTTTCAGTTTGTCACATCATCCCTTATTTTAAGGAGCTGGAGGCAGAAAAACCACAGACAAGAACAATCTAGTGGCTCTATAGCAAAATTGGATCTACTCAGCAATATGAGAAGAACAGCAGAGGAAAGGATGTAGGAATGACATCTCAAGAAGCTATTACTGTATATACAGTAGTATAAAGTGATTTGTCTATATTTTGGGCTGTTCTTCTGGTATTTGTCATATGTCAGGCATATTTTTTTCTTTAAAAGATACCCCCGATTTTTGCTTCACTATTTTCAGTTTCAAGGGGCTCTTATAAACAAGTATGTACAGGTTTTTGTCAGCTGGAAGCTTCTAGACTCTTGTGATGTCACATTACCATATTCTAGCAAATAGTCATGTTCCCTCTCCTATTTGGAGGCTGATGGGATGGGCAAGGGGCAGGAGGCATGCATGGGCAATGATGCAATGCAGGGCAAACTCATCCAGTACCAGTAAGAAGGGTTTTTTTTAATGGGTTTTAATAAAAATGACCTTGGAAATACAATTGTCTTTATTATCTATCCTTTTTTAAAGGATGAATGTAATATGATGAAAAATTTTCTGCTGTCCCGTAAAACACCCCCCCACACACACACACATTTTTGCCTTGCTGTTTCCAGTGTCAAGGATCATTTTATATGCACCAGTATACATGGTACCTGAATCTTTGTACAACCTGTTCATTTGATTTCGCCCAAATATGCGAACTGGGGTAAATTTCTTCTGCAGACTGGAAGGCCTGATTTGACTGTGGAACAAAGTTGCACACATCTGAAAAATTTGCTCAGACTTCACATTTGATTAATGTGCCATTTCCAGTCACACACAGTGAACAGTGATTAAAAAGTCAAAAGGAAGTGGGCATGAGATGAGCACTAAGATGACAGGACAGCCAACTCAAACATTACTTCTTCACCCACCCCTAAAAGTACCCTGGTTAAAAACAGATATTTACACTGTTGCAAAGATGAAATTAGAAGGTTTTAGAGACATAAAACAAACTCACATCTCATTCAGTCAGGCTCCTTTCCTTTCCTGCATATCATGTAATAATTTATTACAACTCCTGCCTGTCTTTTAATCATATTTGGATGATGAGAGATAATTTTGGATAATTGTCCATTATGAAATCATCTTGTATCTTCGTATATGGCTGAGATTATTAGGGTTCAGATGAAGTATCTTGTAAATATATTCTGCTAGCTGCTAATTAAGATTTCCTATGGCCTTCCTAGTAATATCCTTTGACTTTCAAACACATTCAACTGTTGTCAGAGGTTTGGTGCTGGAGAACTCAAAGAAAACTAAAGTGATGAAGGTGCAACCAGTAGGGAAAGGTGATTGAAACCCTGAACGGGAGGAGATCTTTAAGCTAACCATTTTAAAAGGTGGAGCTTTTCCCAAGTACATCAAACATTTCCTTTTTGCATCTGTATTCACTGCTTTGACTCACATATGATCCACTAACTAAGGCTCTAAAATAGCAGGAGTCTAAGACAGCATTTCAAAAGCTCCCTGGCATGGATGACACTACTTGCACACCTTTGCACTTTCTGGATATTCAGGCATGAAAAACATTTGCTGCACTAACCTACCACCTAGAAAATGTAATATCTGAAGTAGAACTAAGCTGACATGTCTCACAAGACTTAAAAAAAAAAAAGCTTCTGAGATTGTCCTTTTTCTCAGCTGCTAGAAAAAGAAGATCAGGATGAGTCAATCCAAAATGGCGGCCACAGGCTGCCAAGAGGATTTCTGCTACAGCTAACAGGCACAAAGAAAACCCCTTAGGAAGGAAGAATTAGCTGTGCTAGTGTGGACTGATGAGTCCTACTTCATCCTCTCCCTGGAGAGATTCCAAGGGATGGCCCCCCATTTCCCAACCCACAAATAAGATGGAGAATTTTGGGAAGTGCTGTGTACGCAGCTCTAAGCCATCCCGTCAAAGCTGCCTTCCATTCCAAGTACAGCTCCTAAACTCACATCCTTGCTGGAACCAAACCTATACAAGACAAAATAATATTGATGACAAAACATAACCCGTCTTTCAGCATGATTTGATGTAAAATAGCCAAGATAGATATTTCAGATAGCAACAACGGTCAGACAGCCTCCTCAGCCTGCCAGCATGACACAGTAATTAATGGTCCATTGTTTAATCCCAGTGCTTGAAGGTTAAGGGAAGAGTGTTCTGTTCTATGTTCTGGAAGAAAAATGATAACATTTACTGTAGTCCAAACTATGGAAGTAAATACAGCATTGATAAATAGCCTCCATACTGTGTTAGCAGAACCGTCTCTTTTCCTACCTCCCTCTCTTTTCCATTTTGTATATTTAACACAGACACACTAAAGAAAAAGCTCATTTAGCACCTAAATGAGGGCAAGCATCCATGACATCTTGCCAGAAACTGTTCAAAAATCAGCTTGAAATCTTTGACTGGGGAAAGGTCAAAGAAAAACCTTAACATCCTAGCTATATTCTATTTTTCAAATACATTGTTTTATGAAAGCCAGGAGTGGATGAGGGAAGGAGCTTGTCGATCATCACCTAAAACACAAATAAATGACATTCCAACTAAATACCTGATTTATTTGCAGAGTCTGAACAACAACTCTCATTCCGATACCAATTTTTCACATTTAATAACATTGCAAGACTGAAGTAAGTTGGAAGTTCACAGAGACGCTCCATGGAGATACATGTAGGCTACAATCCTATGCACACTTACATAGCAGCAAGTGCCATTAAGCACAGCAGTACCTACTTCTGAGCAGGCAGGCAAAGGATTGCACTGTTAAGTATTGACACAAAAGGACTGTCAGACATTATTCTGCAAGCTTTTCCAGACTGTGTACAGGGGAGCAATGCTGGTTCTTGGTTTCTGTGGAGCTTTGGGCAAGGGTTCCTCGGTGCCCTGCACACCTGTAAAGTAGCCTCTCATCACCACTGGCACCTGCTCTGCCTTCTTCCTTCATCACTGCTCCCACTCACTTCTTCGACAGGGGAAGGACCGCTGGGCAAATTGGCAGAGGTATCTACGGTCCCTTCTTCTGTCCATCAGAGTAAGAGCAGTTGGCCAGAGAAGCAGCAGCAACCCAATGGGTTCTTGTCAGTGAGCCTTTGCAGGGGGTGGGCCCATGACAGATGTCCAGCCATGGCCACCTTTGAAGCCAACCCTGGAGGCAGGATTGGACTGTGTGTATGGCATGAC